CAGGTGGGATTTACCTGTATAGGTCTGTACAGGTGGGATTTACCTGCTCAGGTGTGCACAGGTGGGATTTACCTGCCCAGGTGGGATTTACCTGCCCAGGTGAGCTCAGGGGGAATTTTTGGGTTCTCCGAGTGGGAATTCCAACGGGATTCGCGGGAATTTGGATGGAATTTGGGGGAATTCTCAGGAAAATTGGGAGAATTTGGATGGAATTTGGATGGAATTTTTCGGGTTTCAGTGGAATTTTGGGGAATTTTAATGGAATTTGGGCAAAATTGATGGGATTTTGAGGAAATTCAGGGAAATTCGGGGGATTTTGGAGGGAATTTGGGGGATTTTTGTGGAATTTTTAGGAGTTCTGTCAGAATTTGGGGAAATCTGAAGGAATTTCAGAGAATTTAGGGAGAATTTTTAGGGATTTTGGTGGAATTCAGGAGATTTGATTGGAATTTTGGAAAGTTTTGGTAGAATTTTGGGGAATTTTATTGGAATTTGGGGATTTTTGATGGAATTTTTAGGAGCATTAATGGGATTTTTCGGAATTTTGATGGAGTTTGGGGAATTTTGAGGGAATTTTGAAGGAGTTTTTAGGATTTCAGTGGAATTTTGGGGAATTTGGCTGGAATTGGGGGGAATTTTGAGGAAATTTTGGAGAATTTTGATGGAATTTGGGGAGATTTTGGTGGAATTTGGGGAGATTTCGTTGGAATTTTCAGGAATTTCGTTGGAATTTTCAGGAATTCAGGAAGATTTGGGGCAGAATTCCCAAATTTTGGTGCAGATTTTGCTGTTCCCGGGGGGATTTTTGGGTTATGGGCTGGATTTTGGGGGATTCCCGATGGAATTTTGGGGAATTTTGGGGGTTTTAACCCTTTGTGCCCCTTCTCTCTCTCTGCTGCCTCTGAAGGATCCTCTCGTGGCCTCGGGGCTGCTGGCCTCACTCTGCCTCTGCCCCCATTTTTGGCTGATTTTTCCCCATTTTTGACTCATTTTCCCCGTTTTTTCCCCCATTTTTGGCTCATTTTTCCCCCCATTTTTGGGTAGTTTTCCCCATTTTTCCCCATTTTTCCCATTTTTAACCGTTTTCCCGGTTTTTTCCCCCAGGACCTCGTGGCCTCGGGGCTGCTGGCCGCGCTCTGCCTCTGCCCCCCTTTTTGGCTGATTTTTCCCCATTTTTGCCCAATTTTCCCCCATTTTTGGCTCATTTTTCCCCCCATTTTTGGGTAGTTTTCCCCATTTTTCCCATTTTTAACCGTTTTCCCGGTTTTTTCCCCCAGGACCTCGTGGCCTCGGGGCTGCTGGCCGCGCTCTGCCTCTGCCCCCCTTTTTGGCTGATTTTTCCCCATTTTTGCCCAATTTTCCCCCATTTTTGGCTCATTTTTCCCCCCATTTTTGGGTAGTTTTCCCCATTTTTCCCATTTTTAACCGTTTTCCCGGTTTTTTCCCCCAGGACCTCGTGGCCTCGGGGCTGCTGGCCGCGCTCTGGCTCGTGGCCTCCTCGGCCTGGGCCCAGGCCCTCGGGCACGTGCGGGCGGCGGTGGGCGCGCCCCTCCCCCACTGCCCCTCCCCCACCGTCACCTGCGCCCCCGCCGGGGTCACCCCCATGGGCAGCCTGGGGGCGTCCGTGGTGAGCGGGGAAACTGAGGCACGGGGGCGGGGGAGGGGATTGGGGGGAAATCGGGCGGGGAAACTGAGGCNGCCAGGCTTTGGGGGAGGGGCTTTGTGCGCTGAGCTCATCGTGGGGGGAGGGGTGGGGGAGGGTTCAGTGTGGGGTGGTTGACCTCAACCTTGGGGACCCTTGGTGGGTCTTGGGTTGAACTTTGGGGGGCCTCACTTGGCCTTGGGTTGGGCTTGGTCTTGACCTTGGGTTGGGCTTGATCGTGAGTTGGTCTTGACTGTGTTGGTTGATCTTAACCATGAGTTCGTCTTGACGCTGCGTTGGTCTTGACTTTGGGTTGGTCTTGACTTTGGGTTGGGTTTGGCCATGGCTTGGTCTTGACTTTGAGTTGGTCTTGGCTTTGGATTGGTCTTGACTTTGGGTTGGTCTTGACTTTGGGTTGGTCTTGGCTTTGGGTTGGTCTCAGCCATGTGTTGGTCTTGACTTTGGGTTGGTCTCAGCCATGTGTTGGTCTTGACTTTGGGTTGGTCTTGGCTCTGGGTTGATTTTGGCCATTGGTTGGTCTTCACTTTGGGTAGGTCTCGGATATGGGTTGGCCTTGACTTTGGGTTGGTTGAACTTAACCATGAGTTGGTCTTGACTTTGGATTGGTCTTGGCCTTGAGTTGTTCTTGGTCTTGGGTTGGTCTCAGCCATGGATTGGTCTTGACTTTGGGTTGGTCTGAACCTTGCGTTGGTCTTGACTTCGGGTTGCTCTTGGCGTTGGGTTGGTTGGTCTTGGCCATGGGTTCATCTTGACCTTGGATTGGTTTCGATTTTGGGTTGGTCTTGACCAGTGGTTGATTGGTCTTGATCATGGGTTGGTTTTGGTCATGGGTTGGTCTTGGTCATGGGTTGGTCTTGCCTTTGGGTTGGCCTTGACCTTGGGCCGCTTTTGACTTTAGGTTGGTTGATTTTGACCATCAGTTAGTCTTGACTTCAGCTTGATTTTGGCCATGGGTTGTTCTTGACCATTGGTTGGTTGGTCTTGACCATGAGTTAGCCTTGACTTCGGGTTGATTTTGACCATGGGTTGGTCTTGGCCATGGTTTGCTTTTGGATTTGGGTTGGTCTTGGACCTTGGATTGGTCTTGACTTTGTGTTGGTTTTGGGTTGCTTTTGGCCATGGGATGATCGTGGCCACGGCTTGGTTGCTCTTCACCTCGCTGACCATTGGCTGGGTTTGGGTTGACCTTTGGCTGACCTTGCGTTCGGTTTGGGTTGGGCTTACCTTGATCTTGGTCTTGACCATGGAATGATTGATCTTGACTTCATTGACCATGGCTTGGTCTTCAGTTGCCCATTGAGGGACTTTGACCTCAGCTTGACCTTGGGTTGGGTTGCTCTTGAGTTGGAGTTGACCATTGCTTGGTTGGGCTTGACCTCACTTGACCCTTGGTTGGTTGGGCTTGACCTCGCTCACGATTGGTTGGTTGGCATTGACCTCACTGACCCTTGGTTGGTTGATATTGATCTCACTGACCGTTGCTTGGTTGATATTGACCTCACTGACCATTGCTTGGTCAAGCTTGACCATTGGTTGACCGCTGACCATTGGTTGGTGTTGGGTTGACCTTTGGGTGACTTTGGCCTCTGCCGACTGTGGCTTGGGTTGGTGTCCACCACTGGTTGGTTCATCTTGACTTTGGTGACCGTTGGCTGATCATGGGTTGAGCTTTGGGTGATTCTTGACCTCACTGGCCATTGGTTGGCCTTGGCTTGACTGTTGGTTTGTCCTGGCTTGACCAATGGTTGATCTTGTATTGACCATTGGTCACTCTTGGCTTGACCATTGGTTGATCTTGGCTTGACCGTTGGCTCGGTGTCCCCTTGGCTCGGTGTCGCTTTGGCTGACCGTTGGTTGAGTTGACCCTGGCTTGGCTTGGCCAGAGATTGACCCCTGGGCTGGCCCTGACCACGCACTGACCATTGGCTGGGTTGGTCTTGCGTTGACCATGGCTTGGGTTGACCATTGGCCAGGTGAGGTTGATCATTGGTTGGTCCTGACTTGGGTGGACATTGGGGTGGTGTTGGGTTGGTCTTGGGTGGGTTTGGGCTTGGTCTGGACTGGGCTGACCATCTTGGCTTGGTCTTGAGCTTGACCATTGGTTGGTTGACCTTGACTCGGCGTGGCTCGGCCTTGACCTGGGCTGACCACGGGTGTTGGTCTTGGTCTTGCTGACCATTAATGGAGATGACCGTTGGGTTGGTCTTGATTTGGTTAACGGTTAATTGGGCTGACCACTGGGGTGGTCTTGATCTTGAGCTGACCATTGGGTTGGTCTTGGTCTTGAGCTGACCGTTGGGTTGGCCTTGATCTAATCATTGGGTGGGTTTTGATCTTGAGCTGATCGTTGGTTGGTTTTGACTTTGACCATCAATTGTCTGGTCTTGAGTTGCATTGGTCGTTGGGTTGATTTGGACATCGCTGACCATTGGTTGGGTTGACCGAGGGTTGGGTTGAGTTGGTCTGGAGTTGAGTTTGGCTTTGAATTGGATGGAGTTGACGTTGGGTTGGGTTGACCTTGGCTGACCTTGAGTTGGGTGGACTTTGGGTTGGATTGAGTTGACTTGACCTTTGGCTTCAGTTGGGTTGGGTTGGGTTTGAGTTGGGTTGACCTAGGCTTGAGTTAGGTTGGGTTTGGTTGACTTTGAGTTGGGTCAGATTGACCTTGGGTTGGGTTGGGTTTGTTTGGTTGACCTTGGGTTGGGTCAGATTGACCTTGGGTTGGGTTGGGTTTGTTTGGTTGACCTTGGGTTGGGTCAGATTGACCTTGGGTTGGGTTGGGTTGGGTTGGTTGACCTTTGCTTGGGTTGGGTTTGGTGGTCTTTGAGTTGGGTCTTGACCATTGGTTGATCTTGGCTTGACCGTTGGCTCGGTGTCCCCTTGGCTCGGTGTCGCTTTGGCTGACCGTTGGTTGAGTTGACCCTGGCTTGGCTTGGCCAGAGATTGACCCCTGGGCTGGCCCTGACCACGCACTGACCATTGGCTGGGTTGGTCTTGCGTTGACCATGGCTTGGGTTGACCATTGGCCAGGTGAGGTTGATCATTGGTTGGTCCTGACTTGGGTGGACATTGGGGTGGTGTTGGGTTGGTCTTGGGTGGGTTTGGGCTTGGTCTGGACTGGGCTGACCATCTTGGCTTGGTCTTGAGCTTGACCATTGGTTGGTTGACCTTGACTCGGCGTGGCTCGGCCTTGACCTGGGCTGACCACGGGTGTTGGTCTTGGTCTTGCTGACCATTAATGGAGATGACCGTTGGGTTGGTCTTGATTTGGTTAACGGTTAATTGGGCTGACCACTGGGGTGGTCTTGATCTTGAGCTGACCATTGGGTTGGTCTTGGTCTTGAGCTGACCGTTGGGTTGGCCTTGATCTAATCATTGGGTGGGTTTTGATCTTGAGCTGATCGTTGGTTGGTTTTGACTTTGACCATCAATTGTCCGGTCTTGAGTTGCATTGGTCGTTGGGTTGATTTGGACATCGCTGACCATTGGTTGGGTTGACCGAGGGTTGGGTTGAGTTGGCCTGGAGTTGAGTTTGGCTTTGAATTGGATGGAGTTGACGTTGGGTTGGGTTGACCTTGGCTGACCTTGAGTTGGGTGGACTTTGGGTTGGATTGAGTTGACTTGACCTTTGGCTTCAGTTGGGTTGGGTTGGGTTTGAGTTGGGTTGACCTAGGCTTGAGTTAGGTTGGGTTTGGTTGACTTTGAGTTGGGTCAGATTGACCTTGGGTTGGGTTGGGTTTGTTTGGTTGACCTTGGGTTGGGTCAGATTGACCTTGGGTTGGGTTGGGTTTGTTTGGTTGACCTTGGGTTGGGTCAGATTGACCTTGGGTTGGGTTGGGTTTGTTTGGTTGACCTTGGGTTGGGTCAGATTGACCTTGGGTTGGGTTGGGTTTGTTTGGTTGACCTTTGCTTGGGTTGGGTTTGGTGGTCTTTGAGTTGGGTTGGGTTTGGTTGACCTTGGGTTGGGTTGACTTTGGGTTGAGTTGGGTGGACTGGGTTGGGTTGGGTTGACTTTGGTTGACCTTTGGTTGGGTTGGGTTGGGTTTGAGTTGGGTTGGGTTGGGTTTGGTTTGTGTTGGGTTGGGTTTGGTTGGTTGACCTTGGGTTGGGTTGGGTTGACCTTGGCTGACTTTTGCTTGACCCCGCTCGGGTTCGCGGCCCCTGATTGGCCCCACCCCCTCTGCCCTCCTCCCATTGGCTCCTCCCCCCCAGGTGGGCGTGGCCAAACACTCCGGGATCTCCTCCCCTCCCCCCCTGCTCCGCAAGTGCCTCAATAAACGGAATTCTGGGAAAACGCCCCAAAATCATCGCCAGGAACGGGGGGAGGGGTCACGCTGGCCCCTCCCCCACCCGGGGGACCCTTGGGGACATCGGGGGGGGTTGGGGACGCCAGAGATGGACCCGAGGCCGCGTTTGCCCCAAATTTATTGGTTCTGACCCCGAATCCGCGTCCCCTCCGTCACCGCCCGGGGTGGCGCTGGTGGCACCGTGGTGGCCCCTGGGGTGACCCAAGTGTGGCCCAGGTCCCATCACCCTGTCCCTTGTCCCACCCTGTGGTGGCCCCAAGTCCGTGTCCCCAAGGTGTCCTTGTGCCACCACTGTGTCCCCAAGGTGGCCCCAAGGTCCCCTGTCCTGAAGTCACCGCAGGTGGAGACACACCCAGTTGGGAACCTGGGGTCCCCAAGCCCCGTGTCCCCAAGGTGTCCCTGTGTCCCCGTGTCAGGGGTCTCTCAGTGGTCACTCAGGGGTCACTCAGGGTCACTCTGGGGTCAGAAGGTGAATTTTGTGCAGATTTTGTGTGAATTTGGACAGATTATGGGCAGAATTTGGCCAGATTTTGGGTGGATTTTGGTCAGATTTGGAGCAGATTTTGGGTGGATTTTAGTCGGATTTGGGTCCGATTTTGGCCAGATTTTGGTCAGGCTTTGGCCAGATTTTGGTCGGATTTGGGTCAGATTTTGGGTGGATTTTGGTCAGGCTTTGGCCAGATTTTGGTCAGATTTGGGTCAGATTTTGGGTGGATTTTGATCAGATTTGGGGCAGATTTGGGGTGGATTTGGGTCAGATTTTGGGTGGATTTTGGTCAGATTTGGAGCAGATTTTGGGTGGATTTGGGTCAGATTTTGGGTGGATTTTGGTCAGATTTGGAGCAGATTTTGGGTGGATTTTAGTCGGATTTGGGTCCGATTTTGGCCAGATTTTGGTCAGATTTTGGTCAGATTTCGGGCAGATTTTGGTCAGATTTTGTTCAGATTTTGGGTGGATTTAGGTGGATTTGGGCTGGATTTTATGTGAATTTGGGGCAGATTTTAGTCAGATTTTGGTCAGATTTTGGTCAGATTTCGGGCAGATTTTGGTCAGATTTTGGGTGGACTTTGGGTGGATTTTGTTCAGATTTTGGGGCGTTACTCAGGGGTTACTCAGGGGTCACTCGGGGGTTACTCAGGCGTTACTCAGGGGTTACTCAGGGGTCACTCGGGGGTTACTCAGGCGTTACTCAGGGGTTACTCAGGGGTCACTCGGGGGTTACTCAGGCGTTACTCAGGGGTTACTCAGGGGTCACTCGGGGGTTACTCAGGCGTTACTCAGGGGTTACTCAGGGGTCACTCGGGGGTTACTCAGGCGTTACTCAGGGGTTACTCAGGGGTCACTCGGGGGTTACTCAGGCGTTACTCAGGGGTTACTCAGGGGTCACTCGGGGGTTACTCAGGCGTTACTCAGGGGTTACTCAGGGGTCACTCGGGGGTTACTCAGGCGTTACTCAGGGGTTACTCAGGGGTCACTCGGGGGTTACTCAGGCGTTACTCAGGGGTTACTCAGGGGTCACTCGGGGGTTACTCAGGCGTTACTCAGGGGTTACTCAGGGGTCACTCGGGGGTTACTCAGGCGTTACTCAGGGGTTACTCAGGGGTCACTCGGGGGTTACTCAGGCGTTACTCAGGGGTTACTCAGGGGTCACTCGGGGGTTACTCAGGCGTTACTCAGGGGTTACTCAGGGGTCACTCGGGGGTTACTCAGGCGTTACTCAGGGGTTACTCAGGGGTCACTCGGGGGTTACTCAGGCGTTACTCAGGGGTTACTCAGGGGTCACTCGGGGGTTACTCAGGCGTTACTCAGGGGTTACTCAGGGGTCACTCGGGGGTTACTCAGGCGTTACTCAGGGGTTACTCAGGGGTCACTCGGGGGTTACTCAGGCGTTACTCAGGGGTTACTCAGGGGTCACTCGGGGGTTACTCAGGCGTTACTCAGGGGTTACTCAGGGGTCACTCGGGGGTTACTCAGGCGTTACTCAGGGGTTACTCAGGGGTCACTCGGGGGTTACTCAGGCGTTACTCAGGGGTTACTCAGGGGTCACTCGGGGGTTACTCAGGCGTTACTCAGGGGTTACTCAGGGGTCACTCGGGGGTTACTCAGGCGTTACTCAGGGGTTACTCAGGGGTCACTCGGGGGTTACTCAGGCGTTACTCAGGGGTTACTCAGGGGTCACTCGGGGGTTACTCAGGCGTTACTCAGGGGTTACTCAGGGGTCACTCGGGGGTTACTCAGGCGTTACTCAGGGGTTACTCAGGGGTCACTCGGGGGTTACTCAGGCGTTACTCAGGGGTTACTCAGGGGTCACTCGGGGGTTACTCAGGCGTTACTCAGGGGTTACTCAGGGGTCACTCGGGGGTTACTCAGGCGTTACTCAGGGGTTACTCAGGGGTCACTCGGGGGTTACTCAGGCGTTACTCAGGGGTTACTCAGGGGTCACTCGGGGGTTACTCAGGCGTTACTCAGGGGTTACTCAGGGGTCACTCGGGGGTTACTCAGGCGTTACTCAGGGGTTACTCAGGGGTCACTCGGGGGTTACTCAGGCGTTACTCAGGGGTTACTCAGGGGTCACTCGGGGGTTACTCAGGGGTCACTCGGGGGTTACTCAGGCGTTACTCAGGGGTTACTCAGGGGTCACTCGGGGGTTACTCAGGCGTTACTCAGGGGTTACTCAGGGGTCACTCGGGGGTTACTCAGGCGTTACTCAGGGGTTACTCAGGGGTCACTCGGGGGTTACTCAGGCGTTACTCAGGGGTTACTCAGGGGTCACTCGGGGGTTACTCAGGGGTTACTCGGGTCACTCAGGGGTTACTCAGGGGTCTCTCAGGGGTTACTCATAGGTTACTCAGGGGTCACTCAGGGGTTACTCATGGGTTACTTGGGGTTGTCAGGGGTCACTGCAGGGTCAGACAGGGGTCACAGGAGTGGGGACACCCCCAGGAGGGTCCCGGGGGGTCCGGGGGTCACTCAGGGGTCACTCGGGGGTCACTCAGGGGTCACTCGGGGGTCACTCGGGGGTCACTCAGGGGTCAGGAGGGGTCACAGAGGTGGGCACACCCCCAGGAGGGTCCAGGGGGGCTCTGGGGGCTGCTCTGGGGTTACTCAGGTGTTACTCAGGGGTTACTCAGGGGTTATTTCTGGGTTACTCAGGGGTTGCAAGGGGTCCCCCAATTTCACCCCAATTCTCCCAAATTCCCCCTCAATTCTCCCCAAATTTCATTGAAATTTCCCCCAATTTCCCCTTCAAATTTCACCCCAATTTCACCCAAATTTCATCCCTTGTTTCACCCCAGTTTACCCCAAATTTCATCCCCTATTTCACCCCAATTCCCCCCCAGTTTCCCCCAAATTTCCCCAATAATTCCCCCCAATTTCACCCCAAATTTCCCCACACTTCACCCAAATTTCTCCCCAATTTCCCCGCCAATTCCCTCCAATTTCCCCCAATTCCCCCAAATCTCCCCCCCAAAATTTTCCTCAGATTTCATCCAAATTTCCCCCTCAATTTTCCCCAACTTTCCCTCAAATTTCACCCAAATTTTACCCCAATTCCCCCAATCCC